CGCAAAATTACGGGTGAAGACCCAGTGATTACGGGTGAATATTACGCGGTGCTGCAGGTAAATTACGGGGCATGTAACCAATTACACGTACAATTACGGGTGAAGACCCTGTTATCACGGGTTACACAGGCAGATATTACTCTGCGATGTGACACTTACTGCATGTTAAATTAACGATTGGTGAATACTTGCGGCAAGCCTCAAAATGGACGCACACCCCTTGTCAAAGTAGCCTAAGTCTCAGTGTGCTTGTGGACCAAGGCGCTTTGGACTCACAACGCCAACCAGCCAGCCTGACAGCCTGATGCATTCATCTCAACCATCGTCCTTGAAAACAGCGTTCATGTCACCCCCCATACAGCAAGTGCTCGCCAAGGAGTCTCACCACCACTTGCAGAGTTCGTGCCTACTCCTACGGATGAAACCCCCGATGCATGACATGTACCGGCACCTATTGGGATTGGTCTGTCCCATCCTGCCTGGGGCCGACCTGGTGTGCACCCCCAAGTGCTCATCACTGCTGCCATGTTACTGCTCACTTCCACCACTGTCGCTGCTGCCACTGCCACTGCTGCTGCTGCTAGCTTCGCTATATTTGCCCGGGTCCTCTGAGCTGGACTCCTCCCCAGCGCCAGCGGCTAGGACCTCTTCCTCACCAGCATCCGACCCACCCTCCGAGCTACCCTCCTCTGTCCGCCCCCTCCGCCCTCCCTTGCCTGCGCCGCCCTTCCCCGCACCTCTGGTGGTCCCCTTGCTTGCACCCCTGCCCCAGCCTGCGCCCTTGTTCCCCTTCTGCCGTTTATTTCCAACCTTGCGCCCCGACCTCGCACCCAGGTCATCGTCATCACCGCCACCCCGCCTGCGCTTGCCAGCTGCGCCCTTAGCTGTTCTTGGCACCTCACCGACCCACTCCTTGAACGCATCGTAGTTGGTGGTATCCTCATCCTGTGGTGGGGGGGGCAGCAACACCCAGTGCTTACATTCAAGGTAAAATATCAGGGTAAGACCCAACAAGCTGCCCTGACATTGAAATTTGACATAACCCATCAGCACCCCTCGACCTTGTTAAACATGCTCCCCAGGTTCCAAAAGGGTTACAAGGCAGCCCTGGTTGCAAGCAGTCTGGAAACGAGCAAACACTCCTCACCTGAATTGCATCGTTCTCTCCAGACACCAATGCCTCCTCGGCTCCACCGCCTGTGTTGCTGTCCACGCACCCTGTCCCGCGCCCAGTTCTCCCGCCGCTGCTGCGTCCACACCCTCGACCACCACGCGTGCCAGCGGCAGTTCCGGATCGCCAAGGAGTCTCACCACCAGCAAGTGCTCGCCAAGGAGTCTCACCACCACTTGCAGAGTTCGTGCCTACTCCTACGGATGAAACCCCCGATGCATGACATGTACCGGCACCTATTGGGATTGGTCTGTCCCATCCTGCCTGGGGCCGACCTGGTGTGTGCACCCCCAAGCGCTCATCACTGCTGCCATGTTACTGCTCACTTCCACCACTGTCGCTGCTGCCACTGCCACTGCTGCTGCTGCTAGCTTCGCTATATTTGCCCGGGTCCTCCGAGCTGGACTCCTCCCCAGCGCCAGCGGCTAGGACCTCTTCCTCACCAGCATCCGACCCACCCTCCGAGCTACCACCCTCTGTCCGCCCCCTCCGCCCTCCCTTGCCTGCGCCGCCCTTCCCCGCACCTCTGGTGGTCCCCTTGCTTGCACCCCTGCCCTGGCCTGCGCCCTTGTTCCCCTTCTGCCGTTTATTTCCAACCTTGCACCCCGACCTCGCACCCAGGTCGTCGTCATCACCGCCACCCCGCCTGCGCTTGCCAGCTGCGCCCTTAGCCGCTCTTGGCACCTCGCCGACCCACTCCTTGAACGCATCATAGTTGGTGGTATCCTCGTCCTGTGGTGGGGGGGGCAGCAACATCCAGTGCTTACGTTCAAGGTAAAATATCAGGGTAAGACCCAACAAGCTGCCCTGACATTGAAAGTTGACATAACCCATCAGCACCCCTCGACCTTGTTAAACATGCTCCCCAGGTTCCAAACTGCTAGGTTTTCTACCTGGGCAACGCCCGCCTCGCCCTGCCTGGGACCCGTGCCGGTGTCCCCCCCTGCGGTTGCTGCTGCTGCGACGCCTGCTGTGCGGCCGCCACCCGTGCCACCATCCACGGCATGCGTGCCCATGGCAGCAGCCTCTCCACCACCCACCGCCTGTTCGTGGTCCCCAGCGGCTGCTCTCGCTGCTGCACCATCACCGTCGTTAGCCGCAGTATCGACTGCCTCAGCTCCCACTGCGGCTGCCACAGCACCGTGGTCTGCAGTGATAGTCGACGGTCGCAGGATCTTGTCCAAGACCTTCTTCTGAAACTGCGTCATGAAGTTGCTGGTGGCGGTCGCCTTGCCAGGCGCGGGCCCGCCAATGGCCAGGCCCTCCTGGCTGATCCCAAACAGCCTTTGAAGTAATACATTGCATTCTGCTCCTTGAACATGCTAGCTGATATCATGTTACCTCCCAGCTCAAAACTAAGCGGTATCACGTTTAGGCTCTGATGTTCATAGGAATCCCCTAAAGCACACCAGAGTTCAATACTTCCGGGAAAGTCTTGTTCCATTTTCCAGCTTATGGAACTATAGAGTTGCACTTGTTCAGGTCAAGATGGCGCGGAAGCTATTGGTCCGTCCTGTATCCTAGAGTCGTGGCTAGTGTAAGCTGTATCAGGTATAACAATGGAATACAAGAACATAGACAGCGAGGCAGGTCATGATAAGACTTGGCTGATGACATGCAAGTATACAAGTACGGCGCCCATACTAGAATACCGCCAGCTCGCCATCAGTACTATCTCTGCGAGGTTCGCGTGGACCTTCGTTTCTTTTCGCTGTTCGATCTGTTCTGTGTATCCCTGCGAGTGGCCCACCGGCACGCTCATTGAGGGGCTTCTGTGGGTAGAGGCTGCTTCGTTAACATTCGGCCCCGTCTACCCCAAGGTGTTTTCCCGCCCTGGGTACAAGGAGCTACTGGCGGCTGACCTCACAGGGCCCCCCGTCTTGTAGAGGGCCATACACAAGCTTGCCTTAAGGCGGCAAATCAGGTGGCCTTGTGATGATGGGGATTGAAGATGGAGGGGGCGGGTTCACGTGTGTGTCGCATTAATTCAGAGTACCGGCTGCCAGGGCTGATTAGGGTGAATACCCAATGGGAGGCTTATTGTCTTAAACCCTTTGTGTGGTCTGGGTGGTTCCAAAAGGGTTACAAGGCAGCCGGCTCATACCGGCACAAGTCTCAAGGATGGTTGCAGAAGGATACACTGTATCCGCTCGACGACTGCATGCTCGGAGGGGAATGTGCTGTCAGTAGAGAAGCTGGTGGCATGGGTGGAAAAGAAACACATGGAAGCGAAGGCATGGGCGACAATGATGGCTGACACGTGTGTTAATTCGGTCACAATTGTAACCCTTTTGGAACAACCGTGTTTGTTATAGGGGATGGCGCATCTGGGCCACTCCTTTGAAACGTGGGTGCCGTCCACTTTGTGACCAGCAAGCACACATCAAGTGAACTGGACAGTCAGCAACCAGTCGTACTAGTCCCGCCGATACTGCTGTGGCGGTGTCTGCCTCGCACCTTACACTGACGGCACTCTTTCCAACAATGCAGAATGTGAAGCCATTTGAGTACTGAACCGAAACTCCATACGGGCATATGGACTGCCAGTGTGCCTTTACGCATATACGCCTGCATATGTATGTACATGCGTGCCATCTGTTGCACATGTGCATGGGATAACTTTCGTAGTCATTCGTTGTCAACCAGACAAGGGTGCATCCATCGGCCTCATTGCTGCGGTTGCTCAGCGGTTGGTGAAGTGTGTGTATGGCATGAAGTACATCAGCCCCTTTCGGTCCCCCTCCAGGGCGGCTGTGCAGAACTTGCCCTTCAGCTCACTTAGCGGCAGCCCTAGGTCCTGCCACATCTCCCACTGGCTGCCTGCCCTCGCTGTCTGGGCGGCCGCCATGTTGACCACCACCAGCCCCTTGCTGAACACCTGTCCCGAGTACACATCTGCGACAGTGAATCGGACATCCTGAGCGCCATCTTCTGCGGGCAGGTGGACGAAGTGCTTGAGGTAGGCCGCATATGTCCGAGTCTCGTTGCCGACTTCTGCCTGGTAGCATGCCCAGCAGGAGATCCGCTGCTGCTGGCGCCCATACTCAGCCCCGAAGTACTGCTCCTCATCGAGTGCCTCGGCACGCAATAAGGAGCGGGCCTTGGGACAGTCAGGTGGTGTAGACATGAGAACCCTATCCAGGCGGTCCGTGTCCAGTTCGTAGCTCGCACTGGGACCCAATGTCCAGGAAGCCACATCCTTGAATGCCAGGGCATACCAGTGCACTAGGCTCGCCATGGCTGCCCGGACTTGTGCCACTCGTTCTGGACTCGGGTAGACCATGTGGCCTCGTCCAAGCAGGTAACCGTTGGCTCCTGGTTTATCAAACCAGGCAGCCTCGGTGTTCACTGCGCACCGTGCCAACATCCTCTCAAGCTGCTGGTTGGTCGTGTGTTTGGCCCCGGTCCCGGGGTCTGCCTCGGTGAGCGACTCGGAGGCCCGCATCAGGCACAGCCACTGCGCGTAGTGCTTCTCGGGTGCCTGTGACACCATCCTTCCGCCTTGCGTCTTCATTTGCTGCATCATGCGTTCCACCGGCAGGTCGGAGAACCCTGCCGCGGACCCAAGCTGGCACTCCTGGTCGTACAGCCGGCATACGCAGATATGCAGGTTGACCGTGAACATGTAGCCCGGCACCTCCAACTCCTCCAGCCTGGTCGTGTAAGCTCTGAGCTTGCATGCTGCCGCCTTGGCTGCCACCAGGAACTGCTCACGGGTCTCGTCGCGGGGCCGCGGCCAGAAGTAGTGCGTGACCGTGCTGCACAGGCTCCAACACAGGGCCCGCAAGGCCTCGGGCAGCACGTCCCCCTTGAAGATGTAGCTGGAGAACGTCTCAACGAAGTGCAGCCAGTCCTCCATGCGGTAGCTCTTGCTGCATGGGTGGAGGGGGGCAGTGTGGCGAGCAACCGTGTAACTAGAAGAAGTACATTACATAGGTAGAGTAGCAAACTCTCTGACAGACGAAGGTGTTTTTTCCAGGCAAGCCCCTGGTCGTATTTGCTTTCTCGGCTATTAGCGAACCCCGTGTGTGGCCGGCTGCCCAGTGCTGGCCGTGCTCACCGGTACTGCATGATGCATTTGTACCGCCGCCCGAAGTCCGAAGTCACGACCAGGAACTGGCCGCGGGCCGCGACCCGCTGGCGTGCTTCACGAGACATGACCAGCTTGGCATCTGGGTCTGCTGGCTTGATGTCTTTGAGCGACCTCAGCGTGTAGTCCACAAAGTCGCTGACCACTCCGAACAGCAGGGCATGGCCGGTGGAGACGGTGAAGAGGCACGACAGGTCGACGTACGGCAGGGCCGCAAAGGCAGTCAGGCCCTTGCACCCAGTCTGGAGCGCCGCCTCATCGAACTGCTTCTGCGTGATCTTGTGTGGAGTCCCAAGGNNT